TTGAATTGTAGTACATTTGTGAGACAATATTGGTTAAAAAAGACTAATGAGTTTAAAGTCTGATGACTGTCTCAAGATCTATACTTGACTTATTTTTTGATTTTTCCCTTTTTCACTTGGTACATTTTTAGATATTGAATTTTAAATTATAATATCTGTCATCAATTTTGCGTGTGATGGAAACACTGGACTTTTTCAAATTGAATTCTCATTATAATCTGAATATAGCACTAAGATGTAATGAATGGGTTATCTTTTATTGTTTGTATTAAGCATGCATATCAGATCAATTTTTATTCTAGCATTTTATTTAAAAACAATTAAATGAGATATTTTATGTAAAAATAAAATCTTTTATTTGGAATCATTTGAAATTCAATGCATACTACTTTAAATGATAGACACACAATTGATACAGTATTTTTGTGCTTAACCTGTAATTTTTCTGCTTCTCAATTTGGAAAGTTTGAGTAACACCTTAAACTTTTAATACACTGTTTGACTGTTGGGAGCCAAGTGTAAATGATATCTGCTTATTTAATGGAGTTCATATATTGTTCTACAACAGTCATAATCCTGGTAATAAAAAATTGCCTACTTTATAGTAGATATTAGATATTTTATTTTACTCTTGGAACTAGGGATGTAGCTGAGTGTTGCAGAGCATTTCTGGCATAATGTGAGACCCTAGTTTCAATATGAGCTGAAAGCACATATATTGTCTTATTCTTAAGAATGATGTCTTCTAGATATGTACAATAACAATAGTAAAATTCAATTTAATAGATTTTGGCTAATTTAGAATTATAAATCTTAAATCAGAAAAAGAAATAATTTATCAAAGGGCAGCTTAGTAATTTGACTACATCATCCAACACAAAAAATACTGAGAGACCTACAAATCAGAATTACAGACATTTTCTGAACATACTGGTCTTACTTCCAAGATAGTCTTTTCTATCTTATTTTCCACATTGTTTCAAGGATAGTATGTATTTGAGTAATAAGTCCTATTATCAGAACTTCAAATTCTTTCAGCGTTGAGAGAGTATTGCTAGAATTTTCTAGATTTTTTCTTTCATCAAAAATTTTAATGAATTTATCAAAAGGTATTTCTAAAGTCTTATGTCTTTAATGATTGAGATATTACTGCTTGGCAAATCTTCATACTTTATGTCTTCATTAGAAATTAAGGAAAGGGAATTATATCCTTTTTTTGGTTGCTGTTTTAAAAAGAAAAAGAAATAGGCAATATGTAAAGACATAGGTTGGATAACACAGAAAAAATGGAGAGATTCCTAGAAACACATGAACTACCAAATCTGAATCAAGAAGATGTAAAACTGCCAAATAACCCAATTTCACTGAATGAAATTGAAAATACAATTAGAACCTTACCAGAAAGAAAAATCAAGATCCTGATGGATTCACTGCTGAGTTCTATAAGAAATTCAGGGAAGACTTATTGCCAACACTCCTTGAACTCCTCAATGAAATTTCAAAGGAAGTAATTTTTCCTAACTCATTCCTGGAAGCAAATACTACCCTAATACTAAAAGTCAAAGAAAGACCCACTCAAAAAAGAAAATTACGAATTTCCCTGAAAAATATAGATGGAAAAATCCTCAATAAAAACCTGGCACACATAAGGCAGCAAATTAAAAAGTATATACAGGCTAATGAAGTGGAGGTCACTCCAAGAATGAAAGGGTGGTTCAACATGCACAAATCAGTAAAGGTAATACACAAAATCAACAAAGCTGAAGAGAAGAATCACATGGTCATCTCAATAGATGCAAAGAAAAATCTTTTGACAAAATCCAACATTAATTCATGGTAAAAACCCCTTGGAAATTCACATGGATGGTGTTTTTCTCAATTTGACAAAAAACATGAATGATAAACCAATAGTCAACATCTTACTCAGGGACAAAAAATGTAAACCTTTGACTTAAAATCAGGAAAAAGACAAGGATTGCACTATCACCACTCCTGTTTAATGTAGTTCTGGACACATTAACTGGAGAAATTAGAGAAGAGAGAGAAATGAAAACAATAAGATGGGAAGAGAAGAAGTTAAATTATCATTATTTGCAGATGACATGATGACATAGAAGACCACTAAATCTCCATTGAAAGACTTCTAGAAGTAATATCCAAATTCAGTAATATAGCTGTACACAAAGCCAACACTTAAAGAGCAATAGCATTCCTATACACAAACAACAAACTCACTGAGAGAGAAATAAGGGAAACTATATCCATCACAATAGCATCCAAATAAATGAAATGCTTAGAAATCAATGTAACAAAGGAAGTAACAAATCTGTACTTTGAAAAGTACAGGAATATGAAAAAAATGATTAAGGAGGATTTCAGAAAATGGAAAGACATTCCTTTCTCATAGATAAGAAGAAGAAACATTGGGAACCTGTCTATTCTTCCAAAATTGTTATACAGATTTAATGGAATTCAATTTCAAAATAAGATTAGCATACCTCATAGATCTAGAGAAATCACTCCTAAAATTCACGTGGAACTGGAAGAGAGCTAGAATAGCAAAGAAAATTCTGGGCAACAAAACAAACAGGAGACATAACAATCCTTGGCCTGTTCTGTGACTCTGTTTTAGGAGGTATCCAGGGGAAGCAGTGGCATCACTGTCATGACTATGGGAAGCTGTGACAGGGCTGAGGAGTCCTGGTATCTGACTTAGTCACCAACTCTGTAGCCTTTGACAAATCTCTCATAGAACCAAAATTGCTCACTGAATGTTACCTAGGACTTTGAGGTAGAGGGAACTAATATTGGATTTTTGAGAATTAGATTGTATCCTCACCTAACTGAAACTGATATATAGAATTACTTTAATAGGGTGTTTTGTTTTGTTTTGTTTGGTTTGGTTTTGAGATAGGTTATGCCTGCATAGTTCAGGCTGGCTTTGACCTCATTTTGTGGTCTAGGCTGTACTGAAACTTGAGGAGGTTCTCCTTCCTCAGCCCCATGAATGTTGCGATGACAGGCTTCCTCACCATACCTGGCTTAGAGTTCCATTTCTGAGGTCACTTGTCACCCTTTGTACTAGATGGTGGACAGAAATTTCACCTTTAGAAGTGAAAATTTTTGCCACTAGGGTGCTTTTTGTCAGTACTGCTACCCTAGTCAGGGCTGCTGAATTAAGAGTACCATGACCTTAACTAGAGCTGCGGTTATCAGGATAAAATACTTGGTAAGTAGTCATGGTTTAAACACTTATAAATGGTGCCAGGGAATCATTATCAGAAAGTCGTGCCCTTGGTGCTAGTAAAGTCATGCAGTTTCAAAAGTTCATGGTCAGTAATTTGTATCACGGGACATTTTTTTGGAAAAAGATGTGCTTTGGAAGACTTGGAAGTAATGGTCTCCTGCCCAGTTACTTCTCCCGTGGTGCCTCCCTAGAGGCAGCCCCTTTGGAAGTACTGCTGCTCCCATGTGACCAGGTCATGGTGTTGTCTAGGTGGTGTTCCTCCTGAGCCCAGGACTCTTACCATGCTTGCTACTCACTCATTGGTGGTGCCTGTAGGTTGGATGGGTGCTCACGTTAGTTGCCAGTTCTCCCAGAATGTGGGATGACTGCCTGCATTCCCCCAGACCTTTCTATGTGTTCCTTAGCAGCTCCCTCCCTTCTCTGTGGAAGGAAAAGAACACTGGGAGCGCAGAGAGGTACCCAGGCTTTAAGGCCTGGCTGATGTCATCTAGACACTGCTTCTCCCTGACAGCTTCTGTAGTTCCCAGCTGACTCCATAGCTCAGAGCACCTGATGTCACTTCCTGTCCCTGGAAATGCCTGTTCCTGAAGCACTACCTTTGCTTTTCTGAACTAATAAATTTTAGATATTATTTGGCTGCATGTTTAGTACCTTTCTTCTTCCTTGTACTGCCCACCTGTCATTTACCAGATATTGCAGATAAAGATTACAGATTCCCTGCTTTTATAAGCAGTTATGCAATTGTAGTAACTTTTCAAATATTGGTTTCCAAATTACTATTTTCAAATTTCAGCCATATTGTATCTTAGATACTCAGTACAGAGACATAGTTACTAAAGGTGAAATGTGTTTTATTACTTTATTAATCTGTCAAATTGCCACTTCGTCTATTATGTTTTCTGTGTTATTGTGATAGTTTTTTGTAAATGGAAACCCTTCTCAAAGTTTTAAATGAGGTTATGTATTTGAAATGTGCTAGTTGTAAGCCTTAGGAATCATTTATTACTTTTATAAAGGTCAAGCAAAAGCAGAGTGACAGTGTCAATAAAAGTAAAGAAATACTATCTATTTTGTCATGTTGAAGTTTTAAAGCAATCTTTTGTATCATTGCAGTGTCCAAAATGGCCCTGACTGCATTTTAAGTAATAGGTAGGTTTTTGCTAAGCTTAGGTATTCTATCTTAGTCTCTCCTGAGGAAACCTGAGGATATCCTTACATTTAAAAAAAAGCAACAAGTAAAAAAACCCCAAAACTACTGCTGGTAATTCTTACATCTCATGTCTGTTACAGTCCACTTTGTCGTCTGTCTTCTTCTGATTCACCTGGCCTTCCAGGACTGCGAAGCAGCAGGGTGACCCCGTGTTCTGCATTTCTTACTGCAGTCAACCTGGCAGCTTCAGCTTGGATGTTTCTTGGAGGCCAAAAAAACCAACTGAGGTAAGGGTCAGTGTTCCAGGCAGAAGGTTGTTTGAATCCATTCTCTCCGCTTCTTGTTTCCTTAAGCCTAGTAGATAACGGGAATGTAGTAATGGAGACCTGTAAACTGAACTCAGGTGTGTGGTTCCTGTAGCTCTGCTAGCCTGGAGTGATGCAGGAGGGGAGGTCCCTGTGGGGGTTCAGTGTATACCCAGTAAAATGTACACTGTGTTCTGTTTATTAGCTTGTATATAATATAGACTTAGGAACTGAGCAGCTACAGTTTTTCATATTAAATTCTCTTTATTTGCTAACTACTAATCCTGAAAAAGGGCAGAGATGCAGACAGTAAGGGGGAATAAGTTACAATGAAGAGAGTTTTCTCATGGGGAATGCTGGCTCTGGGTTGGGGAGATACCTATGATGTGGAGACTCTCTTGGAGGAGGCAGAAGAGGAGGAGGGGACTCTGAGAACTTGGCCTGTGGGAGAGGTTAGAAATGGTGGAGGGAAGGCTGGAGGAATCAGGCCCTACTCAGTAGTTTGGCTTAGGATAGGCAGAGCTGAATGTGACTTTTCTGAGAGCCTCAGGCTGGGGTTGCTGGCCCTAATGGAGAGGAAGCTGAAGATGCCAGCAGCTCCTCCCACAGTGATGGAAGAGGCTGAGCAGATCTCCTTGCTCAAGCTGGCCTACCTTGAAGGGAAGGACCACGCTGTGAATGCTCTCTGCCTGGTGCGCTCTTTATCACACTGAGAGTGGCAGGATCTTGGCTTAACAGGGAAGCCTTTACCTCCATGGCACACAGGATCTGTTTGGTGAGAGCATTTTCCATCCTCAACTCCCTGAAGAGTCTTTCAGCAGTGGCAGCTCTTTCCCAGATCTCATGGGCTTCCTTCTGCATGTAGGTCACCTGCCTTTGGTAGAAGTTAATGGTCTTCTCCAACTCCTCCTGCATATCCTGGGCTATCTTCCTGTAGGTCTCCAGCTCTTGAGCAGTGTGGTCCCCCTCCTTTTCCCGTATGGATAGTTTCTTTTCTTGCTCTGCCCAGGCTGTGGCCTGATGTCTCAGTTTGGTGTGGCCACTCAGCATTGTTTGGTGGTGAACCTCTGCCATCACTGTGAGCTTCTGCTGAAGCTTCTGGCGCTCCCCTTGCAGCTGTGCATTTGCTCCCTTCAGAGATGCTTGTTGAGTCTGGAGATGTTGCAGAGACTCTGCCAGTTCTTTCTTATTTTTCTTTGCCTCCCAAAGTTGAGTGCGAAGTTGGTTTCTTTGTTCTTCCATAGAGTTTAAGGATGCATTTAATCGAGCACCATAGACCAGTTTCTCCAAAGGCACTGTTGGCTGATGACCTGAACCAGGACCATTTTCCAGTTGAGTCTTGATTTCCTGCTGTGAGTTCTCAGGCTGTGTGATGTGTTTTGGGATCTCAGAAGCCCAGCCTTTTGTGTTGATGAGCAGGCACTGGGGCAGAGCCTTGACAGGTTTTCCTTTCTCTCGAAGCAGTTGTTCTGCTTCAGCCTGGGAGTCTTGCAGTGCCCTCTTCTGTGAGGTGAGTTCACCTACTTGTTCCTTCCACTGTTGAGCTTCCTGGGAAAGCTGTGATTGGTTTTTGTGGAGTTGGACATTCTCACTCAGAGCATCTGTCTTTTCTCTCTGGAGCCACTTTTTGTTTGTGATCAGTGTGGCAACCTCCATGTTAGCTATTTCAGATGTCACTGATGTTGATTCTCTGCTTGAGACCCGATCCTGTTGGATATCTCTGCCATCTCTGATTGCTGTTGTCAAAAACGTTCTGATTGCTCTTCTTTTCACTCTTTGAGGAGGCAGTGTATCTGCTCTTGAATCTTGGCTCCGTTCCTCGACACCTTCTTTTTGGCTGCCTCCGGATGCTGTGCTGTCCTGGTCTCCTCTTCCAGGTGGGCCTCCTTGAGAGTTGTCTCTAAGGCTTCGTGTTCTTTCTGAGGCTTGCTGAGTTTGTCCAACAGTTGGTACTTTTCTTTAATGAGTCCTGAAAGCTGGAGAACGAGCTGTTTTTCTCTTCTTACTGCCAAACTACTTCAAATAGAACAAAAAGTTCTCCATGAAATTAAGAGAAGGCAGATCCACAGTGCTTTTCCACTCCATCACACAAGGCTGTGTGAGTAGTTGCCTGTGTCACACTACTGGCCTGGAATGTTCATTGTTTGGTCTAGAACCTGGCAACGGGAGTGGCCCACTGCTGAGCTGCTGAGGTGGTGAATTGAGTGGGACTTGGGGGAACAAGATCTGTCAGGCATCCTGGGCTCAGTTTCCCTTTGCTGAGAGATTGTCAGCAGCTCTTATTTTGCTCTCTGTCCTGCAACAGCCCAGTGTCACACATCCCCATGAGCCTAAGATGTGCCCATCCTTACAGCCCCACCCCTTCCCAATGGTTACCTTTGGGTTGGTGGTGGTATGTAGGTGGGGAAGGAAAATCAGTTTTCAGATAACTGTGTGCTGTGTCTGTCAATGTCTAAGAAGTACATTTTTCAAAGACACATAGCCTGAAACACTGCCAGACCACATATCTCGTAAATCATGCTCAGCCTCTGGAATGGATGGTGCTGGCAGGCTCAGAAATCCTGTGTCAGCCAAGCATAGCAGGGAGCAGGGAGGCCAGTGCAGGCTGGCTCAAGACCCACTGAGCTGGTCCAGTGCGGCAGGAAGCCGTGAAGTTCCCTGGCCAGGCTGAGTGAGGATCCTAAAGTCACTGGGCTTGGGTGATGGTGTGGGGACACTCATCCCAGGCCAGCCAGCCTCTGGAACTGATGGTGCCAGCAGGCCCAGGACTCCAGCACAAGTCTTCTTTTGGATATTCAATTTTGAAAACAATACCTTGTGTAAAAATATAGAAATAAGGCTGACTCAGTGCTCAACACTGAGTGGCTGAATGATTAATTCTCATTTACAGCATCTTCTATAACATTGATCAGTATCTCCCAACCCCCAACCCCCATATGAGTGAGACATCTCAAGACTCCAGGTTGGATCTATATCACAAAACTCTTGTGCCATCCTTCCACTACCTCCCCCTGCTTTCAGCTACCCTCCCTCCTTCTGCTCACCTATGTCACCAAGTGCAACTTGATCCACACTCCCAGAGAGTGCTGTCCTCCCTCATAGGCATGGTCAAATTAATCAGGACGACTTACAGGAAGCCCCTTCCTGCTCTCAAGTTTGATGTCACATTCTTGATCTTGCTATGCATACGTCTCTTCAACACTACTTCCCAACAGAAATAAGGTGGGCCTTAGTGATCAAAAACAACATACCACAGCAATATGTGTCCATCCATGTTTATGGCTGTTATGGATTAAGAACTAGTGGTCATTTAGGTTTTATTGGTCTTGTTCTGTACTGTTTTGTTCAACTTTATTATACCTAATGATATAGGCAATTCTTTTTAAGGAAGCAAGAGGCATTATGGTAACCATTGATGATAACCTTGTACTCTTTTTTACATCATGTGCTATGTCTATCCTTGGTTTTGACTGACAACTTTGTTTTGTCATATTTGGTTTTATTCTCTTCCAAAAACGTAATAAGAACTATGGGAGTAAAAAAACCCAAAATGTGTAAATTTTGTTGTAAAAAAGAGAGGAAAAAAATGCTCTAAAGGATACAACTGCAAGTGTGTTTAGCTGTGTTAAGATAGATGACCATATTACTGAGTTTTTGTTGGATCACTGAACACAACTGTTTGCAGTCTCACTGTTTGAATGTCCACTTTGTATGCTTTAATCCTGTAACTTGAACAACTATTCCTAAAATGACAATATGTAATCTATTAACTAGTGATTTCTTACCTTTTTTTTGTAATTCTGTATTACTTGTACCCTTACACTGTTTTGTTTTTTCTTTTTTTCCTTTTAAACAAAAAATTTAAAAAAATATATAAAAAGAACTAGTGGTTAAATTAACACCAGCTGGATTACATCAGCATAGCACTGAGTGAAGATGCTCCACCTGAGGAAAGTTTCCAGCATAAAGAGGTGGAGAAAGAGAAGGAAAAGCTGTTGCATTAAGGTATTATTGTGTTGTTGTATTGAGGCATTGTGGGTTCTCTTACAAGTTGCTCTTTGAGCTGTTGGTTTTCCTGCAGAAACTCTGGTCCTCACATTGAGCATTGTTTCCTGGTTCTGGAGGGGAAGACGTGTGCCACTTGGTCTCCAGGATGAACTTATTACGCTGGCTTCCTGGCACGTACCTGCCTGTGCATGTTGTCAGAGGAGCTCGGGGCCTCTGTGTCTGGGGGATGGCTGTGGTGCCTTTCAGAACAGCCCCGGTCTCTGTTGTGAGTGTGACTTCTCATCTCCAGTGTAAAACCCTCATTCAGCCAGCACAGCTCATTCACCCTGCTGGCATGGACTTTCTGGCTTCCACTGCTAACCTTTGGGCCTTCCTGGCACGGATCCGTAAAAGAGACTGGTGTGAGTCCTTCTTATGGGCTCTGGACCTCCAGTTGGACTCATGGGAGGCACTGTTATGAACTCTGGGTTTTTATCTAGACTCAAGTGGGACATTGCTATGGGATTTAGGCCCTTAACCAAATCTTCTATGTCTTTGGTGTTGTGGATAGATTTCCTGCATTTTCTTGTGTTAACTCCTAGTGACCATTATAAAAATAATATTGTAAAATCCATGTCCTGATTCTAATTGTTCTCTGTGCATAACCCCTGACTACAACAATGGAAAAGGTAGCAACTAAACCTTGGAAACAAAGGCCCATCAATGGACCAATGGATTAAAAAGATGAGTTTGTTTATGAAATAGAGTATTATTCAGTGACTTTGAGAGAAAAACTTGAGACATTTATACACAGACAGATGCACTTTCAGATAGTACTCTTAAGTGAAATAAATAGGTCACAGGTTTAAAAATTGCATGGTTTCTCAGGAGTGAGAAATTGAATGTGTAAATAAGAGTCAATGTATACTATAGGTAATGTGACATAGGAAAAATGATTCAAAAAAAAGTGAAGAGGGAGAGGAGAAATGAAGGAACAAAAAAAGGATAAAAAATATAAAGTGGAAACAAACCTTTGTGTAATGGGAGTAAGAGAGATTGAAGAGAGAGAGGAAGAGATTGGGAATTAAGACAAACCATATATAAATTCCCTTGGATGAATATTACCATTATATTTATCATAATGTACCAGTAAACTCATTAAAAATCATTAGAAAGACCAGTGGAAACTCAATCATGTTGAAAGAAGAGTATTAACATTATTTCAGATTGAAGGTGGAGATTCTTGCAGCCTCAGGAAATTAAGCTGAAAAACAGGATAAGGAGCATTGGGCCTTAGTTTTACACAAGCTAACATGGGCTCTGAATTCTGCTCTGAATCTAGGTCTTATAAAGAGAGGCACACGTAACTGGATTGGTTGTTCTTCAAGAAGATCCATCAGCAATTAAATGTAGGATTAGACCTGATGGTGCTAACAAAATTTACAAGAACAGAGACACTTTTACCTCCTGCTGACTCTCCAAAGATGGTCACAGAGTTTGGGTTCCCTCCAAAGTTGGCAATGTTGTCCTGTACCCAGCGCAGTGCAGCCACCTGGTCCAAGTGACCTCAGTTCACTGTGCTGCAACACACAGAGAGGGGAAATGATCAGTATCACAGTGATGTTCTTTGGACTGAAATGAATTGGCGCAGTCACTTAGTCATCAAGAATGAGGGCTGGGCGCTGTGTGCCTGACAAGCATGCCTTTCTGTGCCACTCACTCAGTCCTACAGCAGTGTTCTATAGGTTGATTTACACTCACTCTTCTAGCTATGGTAAAATGACCATCTACGGTGTATCCAAGAAAGATCTAAGAAGTAGATTGCATCAAGGCACAACACAGGCAAAAAGCTCTGGCCACACTCAACTTGTACTAAAGACAGGAAACAATTGAAAAGTGCATATAATTTCAACTATTGAAAATGACTTGAAAGATAAAATCAGGTGAAGAAGGATATGTGGTACAGTACTGTGATATAGCAGATCTCACGACTAATGAAAGCTTCTCTTCACATCAGCATTTGATAGAGACCTGAATAAAATGAGCTCATGGGTTTTTGATTAGGGTGTGAGAAAAGAGTAAGTAAGAAACAATCAGATAAACATATTTTAAAGATGAGTCTAAGAAGATTTGCTGGCCCAGTTGGTGTAGAGAAAGAAAAAGAAAAACAAAAATGAAAAGGGTCTTCTCTACCTGACAGTCTTTACCCTGAGGAACAGGAAGAAGAGAGCTGGTTGTACTGTAGATGTTTAGAAAAGAGAGGAAGAGTCACTGTCGGGTGAGAGGTAATGGACATCGCAGTATGTAGATGGCAAATGGGAGGCATCTTATATATGGGAGTGGGAGAAGATGTCTAAAGATGCCACCTGGCAGTAAAAGACACGTAGGCTCTACAAACAAGGAGATGAAGAAATATTCAAGGATTAGCAGTGAAGAGGGGCGACACACGGGATGAGTGTTGGGCACGAGTTGCAAAGTGACTGAGAAGTTTAAGCAGCAAAGCAGCCCAGAAGGTTATACCCTGGCAGAAGTAGGAGGAAGCTCTTAGAGAACATCTGTTTTCTGGTGCTAAGATGAGTTAAGGGTGGGAGATGTTGGGTTACTAATGAGAAGAGCCTGGGAGCACGTGTGGTGGAAAGTGTTTCCCAGGAACATTATATGGACTCCATCCTGAGACCGGCTGTTCCTGCTTCCACAGAGGATGAACACAACTTCATTGCTCTACTGAATACTCACTCTGATAAAAGAAAGTGTACTGTGGCAGAGGGTCCTTTCACAACTTTGATAGAAGCTGTGATACAGCACAGGTGAAAAGGAAATGAGTATTTCAGAGGCAGAAACATGAAGGTTGAGATTTGCAAAATGAATAGGAATTTGACAGGTAAATCTGGAATTTGACAGAAAGAATTAATCCATGCAAAATCTCAGAACCAAAGGACAAGTGTGATTGATCAAAAAAATTTCACTGGGATCCAAGTACACAACAACTAGATGCATTATTAATAACATTAAGAATGAATGCTTTGAGAGATGGCATCCTACAATGGGATTGAATATCTTTTCTTGGACACCTATTATGGTTTGCTTTGCATGTGGTTCCCCCAGCCAATCCAAGGGCTCCTGT